GTCTCCAAACCTTTTTTGTGTTGGAGTAATTTTTATTTTTTTATTTGCATTCCAATAGTTGTGTGTAGAATTTTTATGATTTAGGACTACACTGTTAATTGTGCATGAAAACTTACATTAATATTTCAAAATGGCTAATCAATATAGGTAATTTTTAATGCAATTTTAAAACGAAATAAAGCACATATGAATAAAATGTACATTTGCAAACTAAGCGTATAAAACCTATACAAATAAAAATAACATTTTAATGTAATTAATACTCTTAACATAATTTATTAAATTGTTAAATAAGATAATCTAATATTTCTAAAATTCTAAAAATAAACTATGTACAAAAATTCAAAATTCTTGCCAGGAGCTTTATTGTATTAAATGTGCTTAATATATTTACTTATTATTTTAAGAGTATAAATTAACCACAAGATAAATTTATTTTTGTTTTATTTTTTTTGAATGTATTAATATATATTATTATCTAATGAGTGTATTCTTCTAATAACTAATACATACCATTTGTTGTGCCAGAACTCTATTATATAGGTTCCATGTTGGTATGGGGAAAACTGGCGATCTCTTCACACCCTCTCGTCTTAAAATACCAATATTTATTTGATGCAAAATTATTTGGTCTAACGTTCCCGTTGTTCCTATTTTCATAGTTTGATCCACGTTGATTATTGTTTTGTGAATAACTACTCGAAGAATGGTTTCTATTTTCCTGTTCTAATCTTAGTTCTACCTGTTCTGACATAGCAAGTTGTTTCGCGATCTCCAGAGTTTTGGGATTACGAGATTTTACTATCGTTCTAATCGGTTCTACTAATCCTTTATCGTTAGAGTTTGTTCCCTTAATGTTTCATGTATAATTCTTGCTTCTGTAGCTTCTTTGTTCAATGTACTTACGGTACATAACTGATAATATAGTTTCTCTACTCTATGGCAATAATCATTTACATCCTCATTGTGATTCATTCTAATCGAATTTAATTGAAGTTGCAACGACGATGCATTGGTTGTCACTTCGAATGCATCTGTTAAATAATTTTTTATATATTGCCATTTTGTTACGTTTTTATATTTAATCATTTCTAATGCTCTACCCGTTAATTGTGTAGCAATATATTTTACTAATATTGGTGCACTGTTTGTGTCGACTAAACTTACTGCCATATCATATGCATTTATGAATTGATAGATATCGTCTATTCCTGTGCATATTGGAATTAATTTGAAAGCGTCTTCTAATTTTATGGTTACTGCCATTTTTTTAGTGCGTGGTTTAGATATAGAACCTAACGACTGATGTTCAAAACTATTTGTAACTGGGCTACGTGTGACTACTCCTTTTCCTACTTGTGGACTTGGGGTTTTACTTGGGCTACCTACTAACTGGGTATTTACTATAATATTCAACTGGGCTTTCTGGTGGGCTTCAAACTGAGCTTGGGCTTCTCTCTGGGCTAATAACTGGGCTTCTATCTGGGCTTCTTCTACTACACTAGTGTCATACAATGAATTAGCTACGTTCAAGGGAGATGTATCTTCGCTGTCCATAAATTAACTTAGCTACCTATTTAATACGTTAATAATCATAATAATACTCAATAATAATTCAACAATGCCCTATAAATATAATAATAACTTCAATAATATGCCCTCTAATAAATTCAATAAACTTCAATAATACTTCAATAAAATTTAAACGGTTTACACCATTACACTTATAATCAATTACCTAGATTTATCTTAATATGTCTTAATTATGTTGCATACGTCTATGTAACAAATTTAAATAACTATTCACTCACAATAATGCTGCGTTCATGGCTGACGATGATATGTTGCCGATGTTGATGATGCTGCTGATGGATTTGTTGGTACTGTGACGTGACTTATTTGTTTTTTTGTTGATTCCTCCTGGAGTTGTCTTCGCAGAAGAGTGATCAATTCTTCGTTGTTGACAGTAGCCTTTGACGGTTGCCTCCTTTGTGGAATTCTACCGACTGCGCCAGTGTTACGTACAGCCCTTCAGGGATCCAAAGCTGATGTACTTTTATAAATAATAATAGTCAAATTAGTATAGTAATCAAATGTATTTTATTCAGCCAGACAAAATAAGCAGAACAGTCGTGTTGATTGTGTAGTTGAGTGAATTGTAGCTCGTTCTAGAATTGATAATCTCCGTGTAATTATGTGTGATGGCTGGTGGCTAAGCGAGTCGTGTGTTGTTCACGTCTCTGGATACATCTACTCAGGCTGTCTCGCTGTCCCCTATATATATGGTGGCGGCGTCCTTTGAAGTGACTGGCGCGTGTACAGTCGTCCTTGATATGGACCTCACGACTAAAAGTGGTATTCTAGTCGTAAACACTTTTGGGTGTGGTCGCATTCCTGGTTGTTTTTATGAGCAAATACATGATATTACGTAATCCCATTACACCATATTCAAATCCTTGTCATTTTTTGTACCACTTACGGATAGGGATAGTAGATAGGGAAAATAGATGATTTGAAAAAGTTAGCGATTACTATTGATTTATCAATATAAATAATTAGTAGACATAATCCAAGTATAATAAATACTACATCTAACATTGCATATTGTTTTTATTTAAATAAAACCTTTTTAAGCATTATTACCCTTAGCTTAAACATTTTAATAATTCAGAAACTATTCATAATTTTGATTTGGATACATAAAGATTTTCAAAAAAATCATAACAATTTTCAGTTAAAATTTTTAAAAATAGAAGTTGTATCACCACAAGACACTACTTAAACAGTACAAAAAATATCAGAAATTTTAAAATATGGTCTTTAAGTCTACATAAAAATTCTAAAAATTTGAATAAATGTACTATTAAACAGAAAAATGGGGGTTAGCATTCTTGAAAAATCACCTTGTATACAGTGATACAACAATTCTTATATTATTTATTAGAACAAGAAGCAAAATATATCCAAGTAGTTCCAAACAAAAATATTGTTGGTGTACCAGAAGGTGAAAAAATAAAGAATAAATCATCACCAATACCAGGTATACCTGCAGGATCTATTTACTCTATTCATGCTTAATTTTAAGACGCATATTTGTTTCAAATTAAAATACTAAAATATAGGCACAATAATTAGATGTTACTTGCTTAGTTTACTTGAGTACTTATGTTTAACGATAAATGATCTATTGTATTGTCATTAAGTTTTTTTAATTGCAGACATGGAAGAGACTTTTGAAACCCACTTGTTTACAGTGGCTGAGAGAACTTTTTCTAATGATGTTGAAAGCGCTGGTAATTTATTTTTATAATTATTTTTATAATCTGAGCGATACAGTGAATGTATTGACATATTAATATATAGTTTATTGATACTATACACATAATAGTATATTATTCAGTGATATGACAATTTTTATATTATTTATTAGAACAAGAAGAAAAATATAGTGAAGTAATTCCAAACAAAAATATTGTTGATGTACCAGAAGGTGAAAAACAAATAAAAATCATCACCTATACCAGGTATTACCCTATTCATATTTCATTTTAAGTAACTTGTTTCAATATTTTAGTGAATTTCAATATTCCATTAAGTGTTATAATATTATAAAGAGTTGCTTCTCAACTTTTGTGAAATAATGATAAATACAAGTTTTTTTTCATACAACAGGATACATTCAAGTATTTATTTAGTAAACTTGGATATTATATTTAAATGTATTACCTGTGAAAATATAATTTAAAATTTTATGATATTTAATTTATCTATTAGGTACAGTGATGTTAATTTGTCATGTATTAATTTGTTATATGTTGTGACTACTCAATACTCATAATAAATTATAACTATCTGCAGTTTAAACAGCTTATTATTAGCAAAATATCTGACATTTATACTCCTGTTATTTCTCTTATATTATAAAATATAGTAAATTATTATTACAGAAAAGCCAGAGAGCGAAACTAGTAATAGTAATATTGCTACAGATGAAAAATATTTAATGGAAATTAATGATTTGAATTTTAAAGAAAGTAAGACTTAATTATGCTGAAAGTTGTCCAACTATTAATTATATTATTTATCTTGTAGTATCTGATGTGGCCGATATTGGTAATGATCCTTTTGTCTTCAGCAGTATTAAACATTTCACCCCAGAGCTTATTAATTTTTTCTTTAAAAATGGGGCATCGCAACCATTGCCAAATGAACTTCCTAATAAAAAATTTCCTATTGACGCACAAGGGAGGTCATTCCATGAAAATTGGTATTGGAAAAAGTTGACAAACGGTGATGTATCAAGACGAAAATGGTTATCTTATTCAAAAAAACAAAATAAAGCATACTGTTTTTACTGTGTGCTTTTTGGTAGAAATGAGCGAACAAATTGGGTAAAAGAAGGTTTTAATTTCTGGAAAAATGGACCAGCTAAAATTTTAACTCACGAAACTTCAGAAGCCCATATAATGGCATCGATTAAAGCTGCTTATAAAGAAGCTTCTTTTCCATTATTGCCGTCATTAAAAGAAAATTCTGTATTAAACGTTCTACTTAATCGTGAATTAATTAGACATTTAATTGATCTAACATTGTTTTTAGGATGTCATTGTCTATCATTTAGAGGTCACAAGGAAGGGTGGCAAGAAGAAATGTGTGGGAATTTTAAAGATTTAACAAAGCTCTTAGCGAAATACTCCCCTGCTTTATCATCATACATTACACAACTTCAAATAAAAGGAAGAAAAATGCCCAATTTTTTGTCATGGCAGCGTCAAAATCAACTAATACAAGCTATTTCTACTAATATTCGTGACACTATTCAGAAAGAATTCTTAAGTTCAGTGTTTTTCAGAGTATCATTAGATACTACTTATGATATTTCAAGAAAAGAACAACTGTCTATTGTTCTAAGGTATATTAATAAAAAAGATGGCATTGTTTGTGAACGTTTGGTGGCAGTTTGAGAAACAGTATTGACTACTGGGCAACATCTTTTTACAATGTTTGAAGATATTTGCAAAGAAATGGATCTAGATTGGAAACGAAATATCGTAGGTCAATCTTATGATGGGGCAGCATAAATGAGAGGTATTTACAATGGGCTTCAATCGATCATCAAAACACATAATCCATCTGCAACTTATGTTTGGTGTTGGGCACATAGGATTAGTCTTGTTGTAGTTGATGCAGTCAGTAGTTGTGTAGAAGCAAGGGATTTGTTTGGAAATTTAGAAACCTTGTACGATTATGTATGAAGCAGCAAAAAACGTGGTGGTCTATACTCTGATTATCAAAAAATGCGATACCCAGGCAAACCCCTTCGAAGGTTAAAAAGGGTTTCAACTACCAGATGGTCATCACATGCAAGTGCACTCAAAACGGCATTTGATACATATGATGTACTTATAGACTTATTATACTACTTACAAACCGATTCTTCCTCTGATCGTGTTTGTAGTGTTAAAGCAAAGAGCTTACTTGATTATTTATTATCTGAGAGATTTATTTTAACAGGTTTAACATTTAAGAAAATATTTGATTTAGTTAATCCACTAAGCAAATTTTTACAAGGAAAAAATGTGGATCTTTTAAATGCTGTATCTTATGTTCAATTTGTTCTAAAAAAAAATGCAAGAACTTAGAAATGAAACACAATTCAAAATAATTGTTAACGAAAAGAACACATTTTTGGATTCCAGAACTAATGATTTTGACATGATCCCTCTTACAGATATTCGCACTAGAAGTATAAAAAAAATGCCAGGTGAGATGGTGACAGATGATCAATCAGTCCCATAGATAATTTTAAAATAAAAACGTATTATACTGTTATAGACATTGTTTGCACACAAGTAACTGAAAGATTCATTGAGCATTCTACGCCTTTATTTAGAGATATATCACTTTTCCAAAAAAAAACGACTTAAAGAAGTAGCAGAACCCAATAATTGAAGACTTCCTATTGATGCTTTTAATGCTTTTGAGCAGGTATATGGGAAGTTTTTATCAGCAGTGAATTTGAGACGAGAATATTTACAATTCGCAAACACTTCTATTGAATTTGAAAAGTTGGTGAAACTTCCAGAAAAACTACATGAACAACTAGATCATGATCTTACAGATGTTTTAAATTCTGATGATAATGATGACCAAACACCGATGAAGACAGTTCTGAGGAAGACGAAAAACCACAAGATACAATACATATGCTATTTGAAGTATGCAACAGATCTGAGTTGAAAAATATTTTTCCTTCACTTTATACTGCACTTTGCATTGCACTTACTCTTCCTGTATCAAGTGCTTTTCCAGAACGTGCATTTTCTAAATTGAAATTGATTAAAACACGTCTCAGATCAACAATGTGCGAAGAACGCTTAGAATCACTCTTGATGATTTCATGTGAAAAGGATATTCCAATAGATACAGATGAAGTCATCAAATGTTTTTCATCATATAGTCCAGTTCTTTTAAAATAACTAACATAAATAAATTATAATTATTTTAATAGAAAATAATGAAAAGTATTTTAATGCCTGTTTTAGGTTTTCAGTTTTAATTATTTGACCTATGTAATTTTAACACAAAACATTTATTTTCAATACTGTGTGTTGTTGGTAACACATTGATGGATTTTATTTTTATGTTTTTTTTTCTGTTATTATTATGAGTAATAAATTCTGATTTAGTGATTTGTATATATATATAAATGGTGATCAATAATCAATATAATATAATACTACATTTTATCTTTGCACTAGTAAGAAGGATTATAGCATTAGCACCCAATCCTGTTGTATAAATTATTATTTATAAGTCTTTATGCCATTTGTAACATTTTAATCACCTTATGTAACTAGGTAAGTAATTTATCTTTATTAAACTTAGGGTGATTAAAATTGGGTGTTGGAGGTCACCTATCTGGTAATTTTTGGGTGGGTGGGTTGGTATCCCAAATGGGTGCACATGGTTTGCGCACATTTACTAAAATTACAACTCATTTGCGCACATTTTTACAACTCGTTTACGCACAGATTATTTCTAGTGTAACCACTGGTTTGCGCACATATTTTCCTTCTCACTTTTACAGACATAGGACTGTTAGTGAATATTTTAATTTCACTGGTGTGATTAAAAATGTATTTTTGGTGTGCTATGTGTTAAAAAAAAATATGTATAATTAATTTTTATTATAGCGGTCATCTATTTATGTTTATTTTAATTAGGTACCTACTTATTTCAGGTTTACCTTGGAAGCGGTTTTCGTTTTTATGATTAATAATACTTGTACACTGAGACTGAGGATTTAATGTAGCAATTGCCTTACATTTTTTATTGGTACATCGAAATGAAAAATTCGCACATATTAATTTTCTGTACTTCGAAAACTTAAAATTGTTAATAGAAACACACATTTTACCACACATTTTACATTTTATATTTCTATAAGCGCTGTACGAGATAATTGTCGAAACTAAAACTAAAAACTTGTGTTTGCGATTTCAAAACGATAGTACCAGTTTATTGATGGGTCATAAATACTGATAAAGTTTATCGAAGTAATATTGCCGATTACAGACCATTATCTGCGTCTAAAAACCAATATAATATTAACGTATATAATAATAGTATGTACAAAATATGTGCGCAATCGAGTGGTTCCTTCTACAATATGTTTTGCGCAAACGAGTTACAGGTTTAAGCAGGGAAATTTTAAAATGTGCGCAAACTAGTTGTAGCCATCCCAAATATGTAGTTGCCCCTCCAATTAAATTTTAGTTCGGCGCCACTGCTACCTACTTCTCTATATTATGTAAAACATAATTGGTGTGGTCTATAGGCTATCTATACCTACTACATAGTATATCTTTCTAAAATAGTATGCAATCTACCCGGTACAAATTTTACATAAAATATATTAAAATTACAACAATATTATATCAATGTTTTACTTCCATATGGCTATACCTAGCTGGTATATCGATATATTATATTATAACTATAGTACTATACTTTCTTACACCCTGAATTAGATTATCTAGCAGCTTTGTAATATCTTTAAATATTATAAAATTCTTGTACCTATTAACCTGTAGCGAGCTGTGTGCACTATCTTGCCACATAGCTTGTCTAAAACACATTATAATGTGTACGTATTCATATAATACTGGTAATAATATAATATAATAATACTTTATACTGGTCACTATAATATTGGAGATTTTAAATATTAAACACTATTATAATTATTGTTATTATTAATCATTACTATTAACCAACATTTTTATTGTAATCAATGAATATAATATATTTTATATGTAAACTAACATGAAATTAATTGTTATATTAAATATTGTATTGGAACTATTGTATTTTAATCAATTAACTTAATTAAAAATTAATTTAATCAAACTACTAACCAATATTTTTATTGTATTTAAAATGTATATATAATATATATAATATATATAACAATATAATATTATGTGAATTAACTAACAAAAATATTATTATATTAATCTAATCAATTGTATAACTTTAATCAAGTAATCTAAAAAAAAAAAAAAAAATGTACTAAAAATTATCATGTAAATTGTCATAATAAGACAATGATTAATTATTTATATATTGTATCTGTAAACTCATGAACTATGTAATTTATGTAAACCATTTGTAACTTTCACCTATGTAAAATTTTAATGCTTATTGTAGCCCTACAAAAACCTTTGAAAGGGCGGTGAGGTGTAGCGAGCTGTGACTATCTTGCCACATGGCTTGTCTAAAACACATTATAATGTGTACGTAATCATATAATATACGCGCGGCGTGAATATAAATATTATACTCGAGTGCTTCCTCGAGTACACATTAATAGTAATAATATCAATAATAGTAATATCGAGTGCGTGACCATGAGCGGCGTGCGACGATAGATATATGACTACGTATATGAATAATCCTAAAAATAATATAGTTTATATTTGTGCTGTTATGTTAAATAACACCACAAATGTACAATATAGATATATGTAGACTTCCGGCGCGTGCAAGCGTGTGAATCACGTTAGGTTTAACCGCAGGACCATGTATGATCTTAGAATTTATGGAAGGGACAAGGGACAGAGATCCATCGAGGAGAGCTGATGGACAAGCGTTCATCAGACGAACAACCAGCCTCAACTTGAACAGTCACTAAATACTCATAGTCACATTTCACTTAAGTCAATAAACATAATTATTTGGACTTAGAATATTTTCCATAACACTGTTTACATTAAATAAATACAATAAATATCATCAAAGAGGTTTTGTTCAATTATTACTTCCATTTCTAAGAGTAACGCGGAGTAGCACATTACAAACCTATATATGAATCATTCAATCATATATTAATATGTAACCTGAAGAATCTGAAAATTATTTATAAGTTATTATTAAAGACCCGAATAAATAGATATTGCAACTTTCTATTGATATTAGGTAAACCAAATCCGATAAAATATGTATACACTATTCCACATCCCTATATTTAATTTTTATTTCACTTGTTGCCATTTTCAACGATTTTGCAATTTTTGCATTTTTTGTAGATTATTATTATTTCATGTGATAAATTACCAATTATTAATTTAATTACTAATTATTAATAATATTTATCAAGTTATCCCTAAAACTCACAAGTTTAGAAAAATCAAATAGCCAATTACGTAATAGTTAAGAGATATTTTGTGAAATTGAAAATATTTTGATGAATATTCCAAGTTATGGGTACTATTCCCAGTATAATGGGAACATATTAAAAGATTAATTTAAATGGTTCCATGTAATTTGATCGCAGTAAGTTGGGCGCGGTAAATTGGAACCGAGAATTTCGGCCCGAGGTTGGTCCAATTGGTCGCGATGTAATATTGTCGTGCGTCATATAGTCGTTTTATATTAGATCGCGTCAATTTAATGATAACCTCGGATATCTAAATTATAATCGTTTTAAATTATTATCGTCGTCCATATTACGGTACCTATCTAAATTATAGGTAAAATGATAGGATCGTGATTAGATAAAATCATATAATGTGTTATGTTCACATTTGAACCTTATTTTACCGTCAGTCTATCGTCAACGCTGTAATGGGATTACGCAATTCATGTACAACGCTCATAATAACAAGAACCACTTATGTAGAAAGCGGCCTCGTCGACCGCACCCAAAAGTGGTCATAGCTAGAATAGACGCTTCGGATCACAACAACTTCCCAAGGGCGCCTGCATGCCACGCGCCGCTCAATTCAAAGGGCGTCGCCTTCGTATATTCGTATATATAGAGGCTAGGGCTCCAATACGAATTAGATGTACCAGAGCCGCCAAGACCGAGCGAGCCGCTTAGCCACCAGCCATTACACACAACTTACACGGAGATTATCGACTACTACAACGAGTCAACTCACGACGCTGCAATTCACCACGACTATATTAATTATTATTGATTTTAATAAATTACAATTGATTTATATTTAAATTGACTACATTTTATTGTAAAAGTGCAACCAGCTTTTGGATCCCTGAAGAGCCCCATGTAACACTGGCGCAGTCGGTATTGGATTCTACAAAGGAGGCAACCATCAAAGGCTACCGTCAACAAAGAAGAACTGTACACTCTTCCGAGAAGACAACTCCAAGAAGAACCATCAAAAACAAAAAGTCACGTCGCGGTACCAACAAATCCATCAGCATGTCATCAGCAACCAGGAACGCAGCATTATTGTGAGTGAATAGTTATTTAAATTTGTTACATAGACGTATGCAACATAATTAAGACATATTAAGATAAATCTAGGTAATTGATTATAAGTGTAATGGTGTAAATCGTTTTAAATTTTATTGAGGGCATGTTTTTATTGAAGTTATTATTGATTATTATTTATTGAGGGCATTTTGATTATTGAGGTATTATTGAAGTTTATTGAATTTATTAGAGGGCATATTATTGAAGTTATTATTGTATTTATAGGGCATTATTGAATTTTATTGAGTATTATTATGATTATTAACGTATTAAATAGGCGGTTAAGTTAATTTATGGACAAAGAAGATACATCTCCCTTGAACGTAGCTAATTCATTGTATGACACTAGTGTATTAGAAGAAGCCCAGTTAGAAGCCCAGTTATTAGCCCAGAGAGAAGCCCAAGCCCAGTTTGAAGCCCAACAGAAAGCCCAGTTAAATACTATAGTAGATACCCAGTTAGTAGGTAGCACGAGTAAAACCCCAAGTCCACAATTAGGAGTAGTCACACGTAGCAAAGTCACAGAAGGTTTTGAACATCAGTCGTTAGATTCTAAACCACGCATTAAAAAAATGGCAGTAACCATAAAATTAGAAGACGCTTTCAAATTAATTCCAATATGCACAGGGATAGACGATATTTACCAATTCATAAACGCATGTGATATGGCAGTAGGTTTAGTCGACACAAACAGTG